AGTTTGCTGATCTGCAAAAAGGCAAGCTGTGACTGATTTCCTCTGTCTTAAATTCAACTTGTCCCTTCAGTCCATGAAAAAGGAAGCCTGAGAAGATTCTGGCCAACCATTTGCACATAGCTTATCTTGATTGCACCTGAAATTGTGTTGTTTTTTATACATCTTCTGCAAATACGTTTCTTTCTTTTCTTTCCTGTCTTCTACAGTTAGCCATTTCCATGTTTTAGTGATTCAGAACCTGTCCCTTCCTTCTTTCCTGAGCCCAGTTCTGCAGGAAGTCTGACTGTACTGAAGATAAGCTTCTTTGGTCTTGCTCCTGCATGTACAATTCACCAGATCCTTAATATCAGAGGTGGTATTCAGCAGATTCGAACCAGTTCTGGAGAACCGGTAGCGGAAATTTTGAGTAGTTCAGAGAATTGGCAAATACCACCTCTGACTGGCCCCACCCCCATCTATTCTCTGCCTCCCGAGTCCCAGCTGATTGGCTGGGTCTTCTTTTGTTGCCCTGCACAGGAGAACGGAGCTGGAAAGCAGGTTAGTGGGGTGGGGAGGGAATGGGATTTTGCAGTATCCTTCCCCTGCCACGCCCATCAAGCCACACTCACCAAGCCATGCCCACAGAACCGGTTGTAAACAAAATTTTGAATCCCACCACTGCTTAATAAGTACAAATTTGCAACAATCCAGGCAGAATTTGCTTTCCCAAATAGACTCATTAATCCCAGTGTCGGGCAACTTTCTGTAGTCTTGCTGGGTGATTATGGGGTGGGGTGGGGTGAAGTTCAACCCACTTGGAGGGCATCTGTTTGAGGAAAGCTGGTGTGGGTAATTGGGGAGATGTTCAGTAGAGCAGTCATTTTCTCAGCAGTTCCTTCTAGACTAATTGGTTTGAGCCTTATGAGTTAATGGCAAGGTCTGGATAAATTTTCAGTTTTTGCTAGAGAAATGGCAGCTGGCAAAGCCATGTCCTTTGTCTCTGCAATTTGTTAGTCAGTGCTCTCCAGCTGGTAGGAGAAAGGTTGCCACGCTTCACTGTCAAGTAACTGCAGCTAGGGCAGTCTGTCATCTCTGCTCGTTTGCCACTGTCGTTACTCAGGCAGCCTGGTTATCACACTCTTAATAAGCCTCTCTGGGGCTCAGTAACAGGAACTAGCCTTGGTGAATTTGCTCCCATATTGCTAAATAAGGGAATGGTATTATATGGGGAAAGCCTCGCTGCTTATTTTGCAGAGTCCGCCTACCAGTCATTGTGGTCTCTGAGATAACATCTAACCTGAGTTCCTGATTGCTGGGCTCAGAATCCGGGGACAACACTGAATGCACTCTGATTTGTGGACTTCAGCTTCTGAAATTTTCTATAGACAGCATTGCCATTGGAATAGTGTCCTGGAATTGAAGTCCCCACGTTTGAAAGATGTCCAAGTTGGAGAAGATTTAGGCAAAAATTAATGATATGTCTCAACAAACCATAGCTTTTGCTAAGTAAACCTTTAGAACATTTATAGAGAAGGGATTGCTTCTACTGTTCTCCATCTCATTGCCCCACTGGAAATAGGATGGGAAGAACATGTGGACTTAAAGCTTAGAAAGTTTTGATTCAGAGCATGTCCCCAATTTGGTGTTATCCAGATGTGTTGGAATTCAGTACTTCCCCTGGTCTGGTGGGCTGGGAATTCTGGAACTTATAAGTCAGCATATTTGAAGGAGAAGGCGTCAGTTGGTAAGGCCTGTTTGACATGATGTGTAAAATAAGCAGTAGTGATGCTTGATGGTACCATCCCTGCATAGCCTCAAACTTTGAAACTGCAAAGGGGGGTGGGAGGAAACAATGAGTATTAGGTTATGCCATTGAAGGAGCAGAATGAAAGAGGAAGGGGAAAAATAAAACAGCTGGATAGTTTTGCAGATTGCATGAAAACTTTGAGACTAGGGAGATCCAAATTCAAGTCTGCCCTTAGCTATGGAAGTTCATTAAGTGACTTTGGGACAGGTATTATCTCAGCTTAGCCTACCTTAAAGGGTTGCTATTGTAGGTGTAAAGTTGGGGAAGGAGAAGTACTATGTCTGTCTTGAGCTCCTGGAGAAAGCACAGCTTATGAATATAATAAACCCGAAGGCATAGGCTCCTAGGAGCTAGCTGCAGAGACTGCCACCTACCAGGTAGTACCTATCTACTAGTACCTCATACCTATTGATTAAATTGACCATTAGAAGAAAACAATGGTTTAATCCGTTCCAGTCCAATAGGATTTGCTGAACCAATCCTGGAAATGAATAAAAGAAATGGAAGACACTCCCACTGACAGTAGAAACTACTTTTTTTCCCAGTTGTCTCCCATTCGACTGAATATATAAGCAGAGGCAGCCAGAGAGAAGCGTCTTCAATTGTTGAACCTTCCAGGAGAGGAGAAGGAGGAGGAGGAGGAGGAGGAGGAGGAGGAGGAAGAAACCTCAGTCAAGTTCTATAAATATTGTCAAGGGAACTGTATCAATGAAAGAAGGGAATTAGTCACAGTCTCTGTAGCTATGGCCCCATGCCAAGGAAATTTAGAAGGTATCATTGTTGCTCCCAGGGGAGATGCTGGAGGGGAAAATTCAGACCCCATTGTAGTGATTATCTTTTCCCCCCGTATACGTAAGGACTAGAGGTGCTGCTTGCAAGGATTTTTATGGTGCAATTGTCATGCCTTGCAAAATTTTGTTGGGGAGATGGAAGTGCCATTACAGCATCTAATCTACTTTTTCTTCTGTAAGAAATTCATCAAAGAGGGGAATACAGAATAGCTGAATGGTATAATGTGACTGGCAACATTAAGTGCCTGCTGTGTGCAAAATGCCCAGCATTGCTAAACTTACATTCTAGAACTGAGACCTTTTATCAAGGTCATGCAATACAGGGTTGTGTATTAAGCATTGGCAGGCATGCAGATTCTACAATTATCATATCTCTGTGCTGCACATGACCTCAGGGGATCTTTGTAAAGAAGGAGAATCTGGAAGGGTGAGCGCTCATGAACAAATACAGGTCTCAGGGCACCATGGCCAGAAGAGTCTCCTTTCTCGTCCATTGTATAACTCCATACTGGGAGGTGTTACTGATCCAATAAGGGAACTTCACTTCTGGATTTATGTTGCAGTTGATGACTTCAGCTTGTGTTCAAGCAACATACTCAAATCTTACTGGAATTTCTGTTTATCCTTTCAGAGGCTCATGTTATTTGTTATAAAATGTTTTTTTTAATCAATTTTTGCAGTTCTGTATCACTCGCTTTACAATTTCAGTTACTTGCACTGAATTGAGTCTTTGATGTATGCTGCTTGATATTGGTTTATTCAATAGCATATAAAATCACAAACTAGCTAAATGTTTTAGCCTGGGACGTCACAAAAATTTTAGCCTGGGATATTAAATGAATCTAGTTAGTTTATGGCTTCTTGAGCCATAAAGACTGAGAAAATGTTTCACACACGCGCACTGCATTAATTTACACAGTGACAAGCTCAGACTGCCCTTAAAAGTGGAATGTTGCATTGAATCCCTTAACCAAGCCCACATCCAAAGTTGCTAATGACAATCATCAGTAAATGTGATAAGTTTTATAACAGAAAACATAGACAATGCAGCTGACAGACTCAAGAGTCGTAAGGAAGTTAAATGTAAAAATGTCAAACACTTTTCAAGCCAAGATAGATGGGGTAGAAGAGTTTTAAGTGGTCATCAAGGATAGGGCATGGATGGTTTCTGGAAATAAGAAACATCACAATTAAGCAGATGTTTCTTACTTTCCTATTCCAATGAATCTCAGTGAAGTCAATGTGTAGTGAAGATGTTGCCAAAGAATACAGATGTTTATGTTTGTATTTCATCTGGGAATATTTATGAATGGGGATTATTAGACACCATCAGGTTCACTAACTCACTTTTTTTACCCTTTTGATTAGAGAAGTTCGCACCTGACAAATCAAAGTATGATTTTTTTAAAATTTCTAAGATGTCTCTGATCCTGCAAAATTCCTATAGACATTCTTGGGAAATGAAAATGGTGGATAGCCAAACCTTAATGCTTTGGAAGGAAGGTGTCAGGAAGTATTTGAGAGGGGGGGGGGATGGAAGAAGATGATAAGATATATACTGAGTACAGGTATTCCTCAAGTGACAACAATTCGTTTAGTGACTTTTTGAAGTTACAATGGCATTTATAAAAATTACTTACGACCATTTTTCACACTGATAACCATTGCAGCATCCCCACGGCCATGTGATTTATATTCAGATGCTTGACAACTGATTTACATTTGTGATGGTTGCCGTGTCCCAGGGTCGTGTCGTCATCTTTTGCAACTTTCTGACAAGCAAAATCAGTGGGGAAACCAGATTCTCTTACCAGCCACGTTACTGATTTAACTAATTCACCTAACAAACGTGGCAAGAAAAGTGAAAAAAATGGGGCAAAACTCACTTTCCAATGTCTCACTTAGCAACATAAATTTGGGGCTCAGTTATGGTTGTAGCTTGTAAGTTGAGGACTACCTGTAATTCACATTTGATAATTCACCATTTTGCAGCTGCCATTTTAGGAGAGCACCCATGACAGGTTCTTCAGAAATGCCTATTGGTTCAAAAGAAGCTGACAATCTCTGATTTATAGTGTTGAATTATATGTGATTTTATTACTGAATGTTTATTACTTTAGTGCTCTGTGCAAAATGAGAAAACAAACCAGCCTTGGGTTATGATAATGTATTAGTTGAGAATGGGGGGGAAAAATCATGCAAGGTGTTGTGGAGTGAAAAGAGCAAAAGTGGTATTTGTGGAACTTAACGCTGCTTTTTTGTTTTGTTCTCATATACTGTTTTTCATGTTCATTTTGCATTTGTATATTAACATATTTAACTGTGTTCGCCCCCCAGAATGACTTATGTGGGATATGCAGCCATATATATTGAATAACATAACTACATTATCATTTTAAGTCTGTTTTATTCTTTTTTTTCAGAATGGGAGCATTTACATTACATTCCAAAACTGGGAAGCCTATGCCATCTGTCTCCAATGGGTAAGTCATATTTAAGCTCTCCTACAGATTAGAAAAGAGAGAAGGATTGGTGCATTCCACCTCTTCAAAGTATCAATATAAACTGTGTGAGGAACTAAAGCCTTTCTTACCTAATTATGAGATATCCACTTAATTTTTTTTAATAAAAATTCCTACAGTGGTATCCTGAGCCTAGTCCACAATAGCTCTGATTTGATCTTGGCAAGCTCAGCCTATTATTGTTGGCTCTTTCTATCATTCTTGTTGTTTTTAGTGAGAACTCAACAACTCTTGTCTCATTTGTGCTCATAACACAATTAATAAATCACGAGAGAAGGGAGAGAGGAAGGCACACCTCACCATTTAATATTCAAATCGGGTAATGTTAAATCTGTTGAGCTTCTTCTCCTTCCAGAATACATAATATCCAGTGTGGATCTTGAATGAGCAAGGATCTTGAATATTGAGTCATCAGTATTTAAAGATGTATGTTCACAAAGTCATCTGAATAATCACATATATTTGGCAAATAAATGGATTGTTTCGGACCGTCACCGAAGAAGCCCAAACCAGAAGTCCAAATAAATGGATTGTTAAGCATGTAGCCAATTCTAGATATGTGTTGTCTAAAAAAACATTCAGAGGTGAATGTTTTTGCCAGACAATAACATTAACAAAATATCTTCTAAGCTTGATTTAGAATTCCTTGTGGTCTTGAATTGCTCTTCTTTTATTAAATCTGCAATAGAAAGCTGAAATACAGTAAATAAACATAGATATCTCTTGAATCTTTCTTCTAAGGAAAAAGCCAGGTATGGGCTACTGGGAGGTCTACAACAACTCGCCGTGGCCAACTCACCATGGGGCAACTTGCCATGGCCAACTTGTCACCGATAAACTCATTGCAGACAAGAGTTATACTACTGTTGAAGAAATAGTGGATCAGAATCATTTAAAAAAAGATGGCAAAGGAGGGACAAAATAAAATGTGAATGATGAAAATTAAAATGTTTTAACTATTTTAAATAATTAAATTGAATTGTTTAATTGTCATGCAATGAGTTGTCCCATGGCAAGTTGGTCATGGCAAGTTGTCCTGTGCTGAGCAGGCTGTGGTGAATTGGCCATGATGAGTTGGCTGTGGTGAGTTATCCCATTCCGACTGGAAGTCACCCCTGCTGATATGTGTGGACAGGCTAATTGATACTAGCTTCCCTTCAAATACATATGTCCAACTACAACCCTACAACTGTATGTCAGTGTTTTCTATGATATGGAAATATAAGACAAGTTTAGCACACACACACACACACAACCACAGTCAGCAGGTGAGTGGTAGCCCTGTAATATGAATGAGTGTCTTGTGGCCTGCCAGTGGCCAGCAAGCTGGTGGCAGAATCGGATAGTGAGGAAGTTGGGGAGGAACATGGGCCAGTCCTGGAGTCTGAGGAAGGCTCTGACAAGTGCTCTGCGTCAGAGGCAGAGATGGGGCCAGGGTCTTCTGACAGTTCTCAGCTGCCTTCAGAGTCAGAGATCAGTGGGGCAGAAGAACAGCTGGAGCCTGTTCCCAATGTACGCATGTGCAGAGCTGCCAGGAGAAAGGAACAGTTAAGGAACAAGGGTTGACTCGGGAGTAAGAGCTCAGGTGAACGGTGAATGGCCCCTTTATTTCATAGGGAATAAAGAGGAACTAAAGGGGAGTGGTGTTTGCAGGGGACAATTAGTTCAATTCATTAGAGTGAAGATCTGTTCCTAACTTCTTGCCAAGTAATTGCTGCTACAGTGTGTCAGATAGAAGATATCAGCCTGGCAACTCTCCAAGCCTGATAAAGGTCTGAAATGTCATAAAAGACTGTTTGCCAGGACTTTGCTGAAGTGGAATTCACTTTAACCTAAATAAAAGGGGTTTTATTGGGATGAGGAGTCCGTTTCATGATCTTGGGAAGCCTAGGTCAGAACAGAATGAGCAAAAAAGGCTCTTCCCATCTTTCGGAGGAACTTTGATTGGGACAGCTCCAGATTGAAAGATGCCCTTTAAAGAAAAGTGGTCGTGAAAGGAAACAGAAAGTAAACAATAACAACCTATAAGGAATAATATCCAAAATCGTAGCAAAGTTTTACAACAACTATTTCATCAACCAGCACGTAATACTAGAGTTGCCTTGTTTTGCTTAAGGTCATGTTACTACATGGACAACTCCAGATAGTTTCTGTTCATATAGAAGCCATTGTTTCCTTCGAGGAATGTTTTGACTTCCCAATCTTGCCTGGGATCGCAAAACATTCTAGTGGTCTCCCATCCAAAAATGAATTGCATCCAGTTCTTCTTAGTGGATTTGAGATCAACCAAATCTGGCTATGTGCTGCCACCTGCTGGGCCACATTCAAATTGATACATGGGAAAAACTCTTCACAGTTGGTGGCCATTACCACATACTAGGATTTTGAGTCCATCACTCCATATGCCATTTATCGGAGGGATGATAATTAAAAGCAAACCTTGCCTATGAAAGTAATGCAAATTGTTTATACTGACCACCTTAGTTCTGACTTTGATTATGAAGAGAGTTTAGTGTTTGGAGTTGTGATTATTAGGCATCAATCGCTATATAGAATAAGAAGTAGAATATTTTCACATTTCCATTCATTATTAGTTGAATCTGTTTGTATAACCATATCATTTTTCTAAACCCAATCCTTATTTCATCTACTGGTGAATGAAAATAATAGGAGTCATAAGTAGGGTAATCCTTTTGATATAATTTAGGGCTTTATGTGATTTATATTTCTGGCCTGAGAAAGATCATATTAGTTATTCACTGTCATACTTCTAATTTCCAAGCACCATGAACAAATAGACTTGTCATCAGCTCTGAAGATTAAATCCATTTTGAGCCATCATTATCCAAGACATCATCTGTCTGTGTGGAATTAGATGGACAAAATCATAAAACTGACACTTTTTTAAAAAGAAAAAAGGGGGTTTCAGGTAAACTGCTTTTTTTCTTAGTTTTGTTCTATCTTGAGTGATACCTCTCAGCAATCAACTTGATATGAGCATTCAAATAAATGTTTCAGTTCAGTTGCTGTACATTCAGGCAATGGTTTAATTTGTCCCAAACCCTCATATAGTTTTAACTTGGGAAAAAAACTTTCTTTGGTTCTCAATTTTTATACCACCTTTGAACATATTTAATGTTTTGAACGAACTCATTTTAATTTGTAATATTTAAGATATTTTTGCAATGTCAATTGTGGGAATAATGTCCATGATAGCTTGCAGCAAGCCAACAACCAATTCCACATAGAAACACAAAGTTAACCATCAATAATAGAGTAATTGAAAGCTCTAGAAATGCATACAATATTTCAAAGAGGGCTAAGAACAGGTCCAATGCTTGAAAAAGCTAAATACTTTGGGATGTCTTAGTTTATTTAATCCACCGACCAGAGTTCGCTGAAAGAAGTACAGGGTTACTGAGACATTTTATAAGAGAATCCAAACAATACAGTAGTAATTAATAAACAGAACATGAAAGAACACACTTATTACTATTTATAGGGATAGGCAGTAGCTCTTTTGAATTCTGCTGTATAGTGCAGTGTTGGTGTGGTGTCGGGGGTTTCCGGTTCAATGTGTGAAGGGTGAAGGATGTGTGTTTGTGTTTATTTTCATGGTCATGATGTGCACTGAAGATAGTGTTTGATTTCATTGTAAGAGGTGCAATGACAATAAAGTAAGCTAAACTAAAAATAAAACCTACTATCCTCATCTAAATAGGCACTCAGTAGTCACTCCTAAATTGAGTTATGTGGCCCCGTATCACTTTATGGAAATGGAGCTTTGGATTTTAAGGCAGTGTCTTTATAGGGAAAAGTTAAACACTTCAACTCTATGCTGGGCCATCTTGCTTAGCCCGGCTGCTTTGCTTTGGCAAATATATCTTCTTTGCATACACACACATTCATCAGAGATTATCTGGAGCTGATTTCATAGTTTGTTTTCTCACAGCACCAAATACAGGGCACCTTTATGCTTCATGGAGCTGCACTGAAAGCGTGCTTTATCAAAGCCTTAATCAAAACACAGTACTGTCAGCACTAATGACAAAATTTGAGCAAGTCTGAACACACTTCCCCCCTTTCCTCCCTGTGTCTTCATGTGAACTATGGGTTTGTTTACTCATATTATATTGACACATCCTCTATCTGGCCTTTGGCTTGGTAGTGGCTGTTTAGCCTGCCCCTCAAAGCTATCCCTTCTTCCTTCTACTCCACTGCAGAATGTATAACAGGAGTTACAGGTATGGAAAGTTCAAACTTACTGACATTTTGGGGTTTCATAAAAGGAGACACTGCAAATGGAACCGAAAAAATAAATTTGACATTATTTTTGCATTGGGGGCAAAGATGGATGTCTCTTTCCTCCCCTTTCTACCCACTTCATAAACTATTTTGTCTCTTATTATAGAGAAATTCCGGGGAAAAAGTGTGGCACCATCATTCTCTCAGCTGAAGAACTGGGCAATTGTAGGGTGAGTCATTCTTTTATCTTTGAATTTTTGTTCATGTCTTTGCTTTCAAAAAGCTCGTCAAAAGAAGAAAATATGCCTTTGAATTCAAAAGCCCCAGTGCTATGGAGTCCCTGATGGTTTAGAAAGTTGTTTTGTTAAAGTTACACAGATATGCCATGCTGCATCCGACTCAGAGATATCATGTTGCGGAAGATAATGAGAGACTCTGATATTATTTTTGGTGATGCAGAACCACACATAAGGTATTTATTTAAGCAAGTTGCATCTAAAAACTGCTATTCTTAAAAGTTTTTATTATGTGTCCTGATCCACACAACTTCAGTACTAGAATGCTGGAGATCTCTTCCCCTTCTGGGGGAAAATGCTAGCTGTATGTATACATACAGACCTATGGATATTTAGTAAAACCATTGAAATTTACTAATTTATTTATTCAATTTCTATAGCCACTCAGTTCAACCAAGTGACTCTGGATGGGTTACAATTCTAAAATTATAAAACACTTGAACAATTTTAAAAACTGTACAGCAATGAAAACATCTACAAAATAATTAAGTAGAAACATTAGCCATGATGGTTAATCAACTAATACTGAGTAAGCCAAGTAACAAGACCCTTAACACATTCCAAGCCCCAGGCCTGGTTACATAGCCAAGTTTTTGAAGTTTTGCGAAAAGCCAACAGCGTTGGGGCTATTCTTAGCTTCGAATATTCTACAAGGCAGGGCTGTAGCAGAAAAAGGCCTAGTTCTAAATGAAATATAACATGCTTTCCTAGCGAAATACTTTGATAGTGGCCAGCAACATGATCTTGGTAGAACTCTCAGCAGGATGTACCATGCTGAAGTAAATTAGATGAACCCTCACTTGTAGATCAGCAGAAATAAAATATATGCAGAAAAGTAAACTGGGCAGTTCCAGGGAGTCATGAGGCTGCAGCAAGATATTTTACCCTGCTTCTCCAAGAGGGAAATCTATGTAATTATTAGCTGAATATTTCCCATAATAATTCTGGGAACATGAACCAAGATTACAGTCAAATTAGTACCTGAAGAATTCTTATAGCTGGAAGCTGAGATTTGTTCTGCTTAAAAGATAATAATAGATGATTACCAAAAATGTATGAATATCTTTTTAAAAAATGGAGAAAAGAAGATTATGGGCTCAATAGCTAACAGGGTATTTGAAGAGAAACAGATATAAATCTATCGAGTTGTGTAACTTCATATCCCAGGTTATCATGGCACTGGAAATTAGAGCATGAATATTGGGGTGGGGGGCAAGTCCTGCTTTCCTTTTTGTTATATATCACAGCACACCCAGAAGTCCCCTGGGAGATAGTAGATCTCAGAGTTAAATGGGTGTGCTGTGATATATCCAATATTGAAGAAATGTTTCATTCTTCATCTGGATGAAATAATATCTGCAAGATATAGAGGATATATAGTGAACTGTGCTACAGACAGGCAATAGAGAATCCATTTGGAGCAACAGTTAAGGCACTAGGCTGGAAACCTGCAGACTATGTCACAAAGCTAACTGTGTGATTTTGGGCCGGTCATTCTTTCTCAGCCCTAGGAAGTATACAAAGACAAACTACTTTGCAATCTTGTCACAAAAACTACTAGTCCAAGCCATTGCCAGGGATTAGTGTTGACTCCAAGGCACAGAGATTGTGTTGGAGTGCTGCACTAAGACTAGAAAGGCCACGATTTCATCCTCTACTTAGTTAGGAAGCTCACAAGATCAACTTGGAACAATTATTCTCAGTGGACCCACATCATAAAAGGCAGAGTTTCACTCTTGTCTGAGAGCTGGTCAAGCTAAATATATAGTTGTAGTTTATTCCATCTGGGGAAAGCTGCTATAGATGTTTTTTCACAGCCCGTTTCCATTACAGTAAATTGACCTAAAAGATGCCCTCAAACTTGTTTTTGGCTATAGACAGAAAAAAAACATGCTTTCTTCCAAGGAAAAGGTTCAGAGCATCTGGGACTTTAAGAGTTATGGCTGAGTTGCGTTGGTGACATATAAGACAAAGAGACAAGGCTTGGGTGATTCCCAACAGTCAAGTATTGGTGGGCCATTAGAGGTTTATTATCTCTTTACAGCCACAGCCAATTTGTTGCTGAAACCAAAGAGAGCAAAACAAACCCATGGCTGTTTTTCTGGAAAAGATCAGCCTGTCTAAATTCCAGCAAAGCCAGACATTTTCAATCTCCTTTTCTCCCCATACAGAAGTTAACACAAACAATATCACAATCTCACCTCATCTCGCCCACAAGTCTGACATCTACAAGAGGGATAAAATCCTAATTTCTTCTCCTACACATGTTTGTGCAATTCTTTGTCCTCAGACATAACTTGGGTTAAATTCCCATGCCTTCAAAAATGCATGCAGATCAGCACTTTCTCACCCATGCGTCCATGGACAAGTGTTTTGCATGTATGTCTGTGGAAGTGGATGCACATACCATGGTACAGTACATGGTGAAAGTTTAGGTGAATTACATCATGTTGTATTTTATCTCTATTGCTTATTTTTGTGCTTGAATGCTGATACACATGCCCTGTATATTATCTAAAGTATCATATATGGAAAGATTTGCATGTTTGTATTTACTCTTTCAATTCACAAAATGCACAACCTTTGTTATTGCATGCTACTTTAGACATAAGATCCACTCCGAATTTCAGGGGTATGCTTGAATGCGTTCAAAGCAGCCCATCTGTTGTGCTGTAAAGGGAATTTAACTCCCTTTTCCATCACAACAAACCGAGACCTAAGCAATTAGCTTTACATGAGCAGTCCTGCAGCCTGTGCTAGAAGTTGGCTTAACTCTTTCCCTTGCACAAAGAACATGATTAGAAGCAGGAAGGGGTTCTATTTCTTCTGCTAAAGCCATATCTTCCTGCCTGTGGCTTACTAACATCACTGTAACTTCAAAGGTCTATTCATGACTATAGCTTGGAAAAGGAGGTCAGTCAAATGGACAAGAAACTGCTGTATTGTACCTGCTAAGGAGACTAGATAATGTTGCAAGATGCTTCTTCCACTGAAGCTCACGTGATTCATCCATATTCATTGATCTCAAACAATGTCAGTGAAGAAACCATTGTACTGGAGAGCCAACAGCCTTAAGGAGTCACTCTAATGACCTTCCCTAGGATATCTTTTGTTTTCAGTGAGCACATCCACAAGGCAAGGAACAAGGTCTGATTATTTGCTAATTTATATAAGGTGTTTCCCTTAAAGGTATTTTACATATGCATATCCCCCTGAAATACACATTTTTCATATTATTTTTTATGTAGGAGATTGTACTGCAAGATTCTGAAAAGTGTTAATATCATAGGATAATTGGATCCTAGTTCCATATTGATTTAGGAAGGGTAAATTTATTACATTTATCTCCGAATGCAAATTGATCAAGATTCTCTTCCATCTCTAATCCCCAAGGATATTTTTAGGATGGAGGGCAACTTTCTTAAATGGAAAGAGGCATTTTGTGTATTCTTGCATCCTGAGTGCTTATTTATATATCATTGCTCCTGAGACATAAGAATTCCTGAGATATATCTTATATTAATGCTATTTGTCACCCTGTTGTGCAAGTTCAATGCTTCATTCCTTATGCATTTTCCTGTATGATTTGCAAGGTACATTAACCAGAAAGAGCAGTGATATTCCATTTCTTAATGCTTTCCAAACTCCCTTAGGAAGCATGAAAACATATACCACAAGCAGAGATAAGGAAGCTTGCTTGTGTTTTCATAAGTCAACCTGCCTGGACTTGTGCTTCTTTTGAATTCTACCATCTACATTTCTGATCTGTGTTTTTTTTATCTTTTTCTGCACCTTAAGCTTCAAACAACCCTAGGTATTTGTTTATAATCTATGAAGTCCAGGTTAGTAAATAAAAATTAAAAAGAAAAGAAAATTAGAAATGCCTTACTAGGTAATAACAATTCTTCAAAGAAGCAAAGACATCCTGACTGTCCTCTTTTTATTTTACCCTGCATGCTGTACTCACATTTTTCTCCCAGTTAAAATGGTACCTTTGTAAAAATGCAGTGTTCATACACACATAGTAATTCACTCATTTTCTCCTGGAAAATAACCACTGCTGTCTGCCTCCAGCAGCACTGGCAGAGAATTTTGTAGAACGAAAATGCCTTGAGTTGGAATCAGAAAGGATTGATAAGTGGGGTACTAATCTCTTCTCTGGCTTCCTTTCATGGTTCCCTACTGGTAGAAAAAGTCTCATCAAACTGACTTTTCATCTCTAACATGACACTTCAAGACACAGTGTGATCTTCAATATTTTACAGCTTGAAACATTTGGCTTACAACAGCAAGGCTATTATTTCCTTAACATAAGAATATCTTATGTTGTATCTGCAGATAGTTCAAGCCAAATTAGTTGGTCCTGGCGAGCATGAAATGGAAAAAAATGTATTATACATGAACTCCTGCCGACTGATTGTGATCTTTGAAAATTCCTGGTAGTGCTGGAAGACTGGATAAGAGCAACCAATATCCAAAATGGTAGAGGGAGCACCTGAGAAAATATGCACCTATTATTTAGCATCTCTGCTGAATAAATTGTCAGGAAGCATGGCTATAAACATTTTTAAAAGGATGTTATCGTTACTAGGAGTTAACTGGTTATTAGTTGTGTGCTGTCTTTCTATTCCAACTTGAAGATGTATTCAGTTCAACTCTGGGAGTTGAAATCCACATATCTTCAAGTTGCCAATGTAGAGAAATACTGTTCTGGTCTTTCCTCTTTTCATGAAACATGAATAGTTTGAAAGACTGAGGATGCAATGTACGTAAATGTAATATACTTTGATCTCAGAAAAGCATTTGTCACGGATGTTCATGATATTTTTGTGGACAGAAAGGATAAATGTGGGCTAGATCAGGGGTCTCCAACCCTGGCAACTTTAAGACTTGTGGACTTCAACTCCCAGAATTCCTCAGTCAGGAAAGCTGGCTGAGGAATTCTGGGAGTTGAAGTCCACAAGTCTTAAAGTTGCCAAGGTTGGAGACCCCTGAGCTAGATGATACTGTGGTCTGTTAGGTCTTTAACTGGCTGAACAATCACATCCAAGTAGTTTGTGAGTAGTTTTGTATTATCCCAGTGGGAAGGATTAAATGAAATTCCCCAGGACTCTATCCTTGGCTCCTGCTACTCCGTATCTAGATAAATAGCCTAGAAATGCAATGGAAGGCATCAAATCTGTAGATGATACAGAGCTAATTGAGAAATATCTCAGAGCACAAAATCACAGCTACTTTGATAAAATTGAGCATTGGACCTAATCCACAGGATGATTTGAACTGTGGCAAATAGGTAAGAGATTAGGGAGACCTGATAGAACAGCAATGTACAGAGGATCTAGGAGTGCTCCAGAAGTGATTTGTCTACATTAGGAAAAAAAATACGCATAAAATGCAGAGTAGGGGAAACTTTACATAAAATCCACACATTCTTGCAAATCAAAATGCAACTTATAGTTGAATCAGGGGGGATATTTTAGCAAGTGAAATATGTTTATTGTATTTATAGAATGCCAATCCTAACAAGATTTGTGTGTGTGTGTTCACAGAGCAGAAGTGACGCTTTGATAAACATATGAAGTTGTTTATATTTTTTTAACTCACGAAAGTAGCTAGTTCCATTATAATCCTAATGGCCTGGATTGATTTAAATGCCAGTGAAAAGTGTAGTGGATGATTTATGTACTATGAAAATCATTGGCAAGCTGTAACTCTTCTGTAAAGTTTAGCATGCTTCAGTGCATGTTCAAGAGACTGGTGATGGGGAAAGAAAATACCCAAGTACCAAAGTCTATGATTAAAAATCTTAGCTGTAGGTGCAGTATCCTTGTTTGATGCCAAGCTGATAGCTTTCCCAGATTTTTCAAGCCTTGCTCATGCTATTACAGTCCTTTCAGTTATACACTGGATTAGAATTTCTTCAGTGATGAGCCTCATTCTTTCTTATTCAATTTCCTATTGGGTTAATTGCAAACTCTGTTGTTTTATGTTTAGTGCTTTACTGTACCACTTTCCCGTGCAACTTCTTAAAATTGCTCTGTTAGCTCAGCAGCAATGCTGTTAGACAATATATTTTCTGCTTCCAATTCCAAGGATGTGGCCACAATGCAGTTCTGTGCCAACAAGCTGGACAAGAAAGACTTCTTTGGGAAATCAGACCCTTTCATGGTATTCTTCAGAAGTAACGAAGATGGAACGTGAGTACAAGTGGTTTTTTTCTGGGAACAGATTTGCCCCATTTTTAACTGGCTCTTCACTAGCACACAGTGAAATTTTCCACTAATACTTTGCTGGTTATTCTGGAATTTTGTTTGCGATTTCCCAGTCTAGCTTAGAAATCTGCATTTTCTAATGATAATTCTTTCAAATACCAATCAGATCCAACAGGTTTTGTTTAAGTCAATCAGTGTAGCTGGTTGCTGCTCTCTGCTTAGGCTTTCCTTAGTAAGCAAACTTTTAAAAGCTTCATATAAAGAATTTGTCCAGGCTAATGTGTATCATGGACAAGACTATTGTAGCCATATATAATCTGCCTTGACACCAAAACAATGGGTCCCTTCTTCTTAAATGTTCTTGATCTCACATTCCATCCAAAAATACAGCCATTGGAAAGACCATCAGTCTGAGAGAACATCAAAAAGAAAAACTTGACTAGGTGAGGCTTGGATTATTAAACTCAATGTGGATAAGAGTTTTGGTTTTTTTTAGCATTCTTCCAGTTTTGCAGTCTTAACAATTAGGGTATCTATAGAATGTGGTTAAAAAAAAATCAAGATGATGGCTATGATTGTGTGATTTAAGCTTTATGTGTTCTTATGTGTGATCGTACTATGATGGCCACCATGTCAATTGACCAAACATTTCTTGTGAGTTGGAAATATTTTTTTGGGACCAGTTCAAGTAAAAAAACTGTGTTGATTAATTTTTTTAGCTGATACAGGAGAAAATAAAAAGACTTAAGCATGCTAAATTTTCAGGATCATTTTAAAAAGATGATTTATGAGTATTCCTGAAGTTGTTCACTAAACCAGCAAGAAGTGAAATGAGATGTTGTGTTTAATAGAAAGGGTCTGGGCGAAAGTTAACTAACATCAAGACAATTCCCTAGCTGACCATTCAGAATAATTAAATAGGTAAATGAAAGTCAGATCTCCTTGAAATTGAGAACATTTTCCTCAATTTTCAAAGTGCAAGGCTGATGCCAAAATAAAATATTGGTTTGCATCCAAATTCCCAGGCTTAGACCGTAACATTTTTTATTTGAACAGGGTGGAGATCCATATTCCCAAAATCAAAATCTGACAGTTGGGGAGTCTAGAGCTAAGATAGGCTACCACTGTGCTAGGCAAACTCTCATTGAAATGCCCCCAAAAAATTACACCAAGGACGATCAGAATGCTAGATTTGTGTAATTCATGTCTATGAGTCATGTAGCCTTAAACATCAGAGGATCTTTGCAAAAGATCACTTTCAATCTGTAGCAAGAATGATCTGTCCTTCTTCCAATAGTAGGTTGGGTAGGAGCAAGGATGGACATCATGGAAAGTTGAGCTAATTAGAAAAAGAGAAGAAAAGAGTGATCTGCCCAGTTTTGGCTCTGGTCATTACTGGAACATGGCTCCCAGCAGATTATTTCTTAAAAACACAGGCCCTGCCTGGAAAAAAAAAATCTCCTGCCTTGTTTGAGAGAACACGAGCTTCTCTTTAGAGATATTGCCATATATTGCTGGGTATTGCTTTAAACTGATTTCCAATATAGTTTGTTCTGCTTTCAGCAAGTTTTCTCTCTGTGGGAATGGATATTGCACTACTTGTGCTAATGAAAGTATAATTTTAATAGGAAATACTTATATCCTCTGTGAAAAATGTTAGCTAATATTGCATGAAGTTGGTGCTTATTTCCGCTGCAAGCGCTTGGAGAATGCCAGTGTTTACAGCTATTAAAGTGATCCATTTTTATCTTGATCCAACCCAATGCCAATTTTCATCGTCCATGGTGATTTGGAGAAGCATATTTCAAAAAACAATGAGATTTTTCCTTTCTTCTCTATTGTTGTCCAACCCAAGGCATTCTTCAGTTTCTGAGAATTAGCTTATAACTAAATGGACATTGTGTATCTTTCTAGATTTACCATTTGTCATAAAACTGAAGTGGTGAAGAACACTCTGAATCCAGTATGGCAATCATTCGCTATCCCTGTGCGAGCCTTGTGCAATGGAGACTATGACAGGTACAAGTTTCACAGAATTAGTGTTAACATCTGGCATGATTTGTTCATTAAAAGTGATGTTAGAACTGGTCCACCAAATTACCATCACAGTTCTTAGTTTCTAGAATAGCTGGAGATTTAAGAGTTGTAATCCAAACATACCTAGAGGGACCAGTTTGGAAAAGATCAGGTTAGAAGAAATCAATTACAACACCCCCACCCCCAGTTTAGATTTTCCAGATGTTCCTCAGCCATCTGGAACAAACCAGAACCAGCCATGCTTCAATTTCTAGATCAGCCAAAGTTGGCTCGGTATTGTCATCTGCTTTTAGATGAAAAATTCATATCTGTCATACAGATGTACTGCAGTCACCTATAAGCACTGACTACCAAACGTGGACCTTGACTTAAAAATCCACAAAGAAAAGGAAATGGGGCTTAAGCCAAGGATGGATTTATTAAACCTGGTTGTAGAAAGAATTAATGGGAGGTAAAGAGATTCCTGCAAAGATGGCTTGGATAGGTAAGGGTAAGAATTGTCCCCAGACTGAGGTTCACTTTATTGTAGGTATAGAAGGGAAAAAGATAACAGGTTTAGTATTTCACCTTAATATCTCAATATTTTAAATATTAAACTCAACAACTTCCATGGCTCCACGAATTTGCACCGAACATGGCAGAAGCTGTCACATCCAGAAATTTAGTGATACAAAAGACTTTTCCTCTCTTAAGATTTTTAAGGGGGCTTAAAAAAACATTGACAGTCCTGAGAGCTGTTCTAAATTAGGGAGCTGTTATTCTGTCAGCGTTAGTGAAAAGACAAAAGCGGGGAGGGCTCCTTGGGAAGGTTGTTTCTCCGCTTCGCAGATGGAATGGAAATGTACTTAGGGAATGATGAATGGATGGGAATGAACCCGAAAAATAGAAAAGGTTTGTTGAGAGAAACACTGGCAATAGATTACTACTATATTGATAGAAACTGCCACTGCTGTCAGTCCACAGCAAAGGTCTGTTTCAATTCAGGAACGAGAGTCTTGCTGATGAGGGACGTCTTCAAGAGCACCCAAAGATGATTAGCTCCATTATCAGAGCAATATACTCTTCACTCAGCTTGATGATTTCCTATATCACAATTGAATCTCTGCATCTGTGTTCGTTTGAGAGCTGTGCATTAATTGTAGCTTTTATCAGCATATTTTTGTTGATTAGCAGCTCAGCCCTGCTACACTGTTTCACATCAATGCTTTCTGTTAATAACACACAGCTTAGTTCTGAGAAAGCTCTGAATGAATCAAAAGCAAGAAAATGCCCTCTGACATTTTCAGGAGGGAAGTAAATCATTTAAAGAGCTGCACTAGATTTAACTTAAATTCATTTTGTTTTGTTTTTAAAAGCATCTTTTTTAATCCCTGTAAATTTTTCTTAGAAAACTTCAGAGATTTTGAAGAGATGAAAGCAAACCAAATTCCTCTCTTAATTAATTTCATACAAATGTCAGGGTTGTGTTCTGATGAAGCTGTTGAACTGGGGTTGATGAGTCCTGGTTCAAGTCCACTCTCTACCATGGAAATTGACCGGATGATTTGGGGCCAGTCATTTTGTTATGATGCAGCCTTACCAACAGGATGGTTACAGGGAGAAATAAGAGGATGCAATGCTATGTACATCACCTTGAGCCCCTGAGAAAAGACAAGCATAAATCTAACAAATATGTAAATAAATAAAATGTATAGAAAATCTATTTACTCCTAATAGATGTTATTTTCCTAAAATGTCCTAGATGCACTTTTAGATTATTCTCATCTGCTGCAGAGACTGGCTTAAAGTAAGCCTTTAGTTACAGGGACTGACATTTGTACTGGTTTCTACTGCTATGTTCACCTAATGGAGCTAAGCTTGAACAGTGAGGATGTAATTTACCTGCCAACTCTATGTATTCAGAGTAGCATTTTGAATTGGCAAAAGTTAGAAGTGTTAAGAATTTAAACCTTCTGTCCCTAAGACTTCCTTCCGTAATTAATTAGAATATCTGATTAAGTAATCCAGTGGCTTGGGAAAATTGGGTTCCATGCTGTATCTTCATACCAGCTGTGTTTATGCTGGCAAATGTGCCATGTGGAGCATGAAGCTTTGTAACTAATTTGAATAAGGCTGGTTTATGTATTGGACTAAGCCATGTTGATGGACAACTTTATGTGAGATGGCTGATAGACGGCTGCAATTGGTGTCAATGGCCTTTCCCAGCCTTTTCCTGGCGTCGATGGAGATTTAATCTTTGGAAAGGCGAATAAGAAATCTTTGGAAAGCAAAGTGCTCCCATTTCCCCTTCCCTCCTTCCCTTCCTCTTTATGTGTCCGGAAAAAATGTTATTGAAACTTAGCAAATCAATTGCTAAATGTTGCTGACTCATTTAGAACTATTTGAGGTGGCTGTGGGGATTTTAAGGGTCAGAAAGAATATAGTTTTCTTCCTAGAGGAAGAAAACCTCCCATTCTTATTACCATCTGAAAAATGTTGGGGAAAAACCCAAACAAACAATATGGTGCTTGTTGCTTCAGGATTACATAACAGCCTACCTTTACATCAGAGAACCACACCTTGGTAGTTTGTAGTTGTGGCTTAATATTACTAAAATCCATTTTTAATAACCTAATGTATGAACACAGATTTGCCCTAGCTACTCTGGAAATGTGTACGTTTCATAAAATTGGAGCCATTAATTTAGCTCTAAAGTAGTCAAGAATCTGCCTTATTTACAAAATGGAATGTAGAAGAATGGGGACTAAATCTGGTTTTTCTCCATCTTCTCCATTCTTCATTGCTTGTTTATTGTTTTCCCCAGATCATTCACCTTCCTAGATGTGCAGGTACATCTACATTCACTTTCCTAGATGTGCAGGCGCATCTACAGCAGGGGTGGGTTTCTACCGGTTCTGTCCACCTCTGTAGAACCGGTAACTCTGAAGAGCAGCAAACATAGAACTGGTTCTATATCTGCTGAGGTTTTTGCCCACCCACCCACCCGGGCTCTTACCTGACCTTTATTTCCTGATTTTTCAACTTCAGCTGCTGAACGAGGCACAGCTGCAGTTAAAAAAGCAGGAAAAGAGGGCTGTTTCAAAGGCTGCTTCTCTGCACGCAGCATGCTGATGACGATTTACAGGTGCGTGCTCGCAGCATGCAGGGAAGCACATCATAAATCACCGAACCTCGTAAATCACCGAACCGATAGTTAAACCTGTTGTATCCCACCCCTGATCTACAGTGTGTGTATGTGCATGCACAGGGGTGCACATGCAAATGCGCTAAACATTCAAGGTGGCAACCACAATTGCAAGATTGACGTCTCATCCCCTTTTCATGCAGAATACATTAAAAAGGGGTAAAACTTTCAACATGATTGTGGACACCATCTTTCCTTTTTTTTAAAAACCCTGCCTGTAGAGACACTTTTTCTATTAGCAGAGCTGATATGAGGTGCAAATTAAACCAGTGGCACATTGGAAGCCAGGAGAAGAATGTGTTCTGCTCCCACCCTTTGTGGGTTCCATTTATTGATAATGGTATAGCCCACTTTATTTATTTTTATACGGTATTTTTATATTTCTTAACTGCCCATCTCCCTCCCTTACACACTATTGTTAAAGTATTGGAAATGACTATGAATATTTTTATGAAGTTTCAAACATCTTTAGTATATAAACTACATTATCTGGTTGAGATTCTAGCAACAAGCCATTAAACTAGAGCATTAGTAATATTAGCTACTGCTATTTCGGATGGGTGCATTGTAACCAAAAGTGGCTTGCTAAATCTACTTGTATTCATGATAAAAGTGAGAGTCAGATACCTAACTTGAATCTCTTTAGCCAACATTTCACCCTTAAGTTGGTTCTTAGGACTCAAAAGATCGCAGATTAATCAGGCGCATGTTGGGAATTTCCACCCTATATGGTTAGCCTCCAATTCAGTGATTTATGAGAATCAGAACATTGAGTCAATTGAATAAACCATGGCTCAGGTATCATTGGGTAAATGTGCTGTGTGAATAGAGCCATAAAGTGCTAAACGTATCATTGGGTAAATGTGCTGTGTGAATACAGCCATAAAGTGCTAAATGAACATGCAATCCCGAAATACTTACTAAAAGAAAATAAATCAGTATATTTGCCAGGGGGAAGTTTCTGGATTCATGCCAAGGCTTCCATCCAAAGCTGTAGCTCAGAACATTCCTCCAGTAGTGCCAGCATTTTTCCAAGATACTATGGAGCCTGTTTAACTATGCAAAATATTTAACCACAATAGTTTCGCAAAAGCTATCTGAATTAGATCTTTGTGTTAGTATTTCCCAGGAGGTAAACAGTCTTCAGAAATGTGAGCCCACACAGAAAACAAAACTACACATTACACTAATGAAGTAATTAGCAACCATATTTATATTTTATAAACCTTTTAAGTGCTAGGCACAGAAATGTGAAGGAGGGATGGCCCAGGAAGAGATCTTTGACCTCCCTATTGGCTGCAGAAGCCTATGGAGCAGGTTGGTTGGAGTCCCCAATTATTCTTACATATATATACATCATATATATGTATATGATTCCAAAGTAAACTCTTGAAAGTTTACAGCTCTATATATTTTTATTGGAAATAAGCTTCACTGAAAAATAGGCTGTGGGCATTCAGTTGAAGCCTTAATAGTACATGTAAAGGAAGAAAGTTTCATCTATGATCTTGACTTTCTCCAAACTCAAATTCTGAAGTAATTATTAATTATCCAGCAAGGTGACAGACATTTCCCAATGTTAATGCAACATTTTTTATTTTTGTATGTAAAGTGATAACTACTTAATTAAAGGTTGTTGGATCCTCAGATTTTGAAGTATTCACTGATCTTATGATACAACTCTCATTGTGTTGTTAGATTAAGAAACAAATAAAAATGTGTGTTAGTCCTTTTTTTTAAACCTTAAATTATCTTTTCAAATGTTTGATATCAGAAAATGATTTGGAAAGTGTTCATT